CTTCTTTAAGTAGAATTTGAAGCGGTAGCATTCATTCCTTACTAATCTACTCATCTGGCTGAGGTGTTTGCTACCTTCAAACGGTAGAACAAAGTAAGTGGAACTTTGAGAATTTCATATCTTCCACTACCCATCTGGAGGGAATCCCTCATAAGACGAAAGACCCAGGCCGCTCCGCGACCGCGCGCTTAGTTTCCATGTACTGTGCTGTGTTGAAGCAACCCAGCATTACCTGTTTGCCCATACTTGACAGTGTTCAAATGTTTAAAATGTAATATTGAAGTCACGTGTGCTGATGGTAGACATACTGAACTTTGCTCAGAAGATATTATCAAAATGTTGTTGTTTAAGCTAGCAATACATGAGTTGTAATATTGTATGGTAGATTTTTTCATTTCGATTTTTGTTTATGGTAGATTCCCACTCGAAAGGCAAAGGAAAAAGTTGGGAAATGGGGCCTTATACTTTTGGAGCTCGTGGACTATTACCACCACTTATGCTGTATAATTATGGATACTTTTGGAGCTCGTGGACTGTTACCAACACTAATGCTGTATGATTATGGAATGATAGCATGAGGTGACGCTCCCACTTAAAGCCAAAAGACCATGAGATCTTAGCCTGCACCCTGCCGCTTTGTGATACCAGGCTTTTAAAAGTCTGGGAACTATAGTCAGAATTAGGGGGCGAGAATATATAATACATCAGTAAGGTACAGTGACTGGTAGGAAACCGTTCAAAGGTCTGGATCTCAGCGAAATCCCGATTACAAACGCTCCAACGATAAAACTACAGTTCACAGTTGCCCATTAGGGTGATTGTAAGCTGTAGTTACAATCATCAGTTGATACCAGACCCAAGTGGAAAAGTAGAAATACTTAACTTACCCTGCCCGCCGTACGGTAGGCAATCATTCAGAAGTTACTACGATCACGAACAGAAATCTAATATGTGGCACACCCTAACACAACTCAACAAGTCCCTAGCGACCATCTTCTTAAAGCATTTTCTGCTGCAATAAATCTAACTGAATGTTGAAGGCATGGCGCATTTCAAATCGGTTGATTACGCTAAACGCCTTTCCGCTCGAAATACTCGGTTAATTTATCTTTTTACCCGACTTTTTGTTACACAGGAGCCTGATGAGAACGTTTGCTATTGTAAATTACTAAGTCATCCAGGCAGGTACCTGATGGGCACCCAGCCTGATCCAACAACAGCGGCCAAAAACTCCATCCTTTCTGCAGACTCCGAAAACTTGTCTTGAATGACAAAGCCACCATAGTTAACAACACCTATCAGACTTACAAGCACTCCCTTCGTAGTCAGCTGGCTGAGAGGGAAATTAAGTAAGGGCAGAAAAGAAGGTGCAGTGAATGAACGTTCTTAACAAGTTCCTTATTTCCTGTTTCACTTTCATTACTTGTAAACTATCAGGAATGCGTTGTGGTGGAATGGATTCCCCTTTACCATAGCCCAACTGGGTCTGGTATCTCCTCCCCGAACGGCGTGTCGCGTTCGCCGTACGCGTTGCGAAGGGAAAGATTCGAATTCCCAGTGGAAGGATACGGCAGTCGTCGCTGAACCACTGCCGCAGGCCGTGGGAATTCGGGAGAAGTTCCGCCACCCAGCCGGGCTGTATACCAGATACGTCTAGTTTCCCTAGGCCCCTGTCCCCTTCTGATGATACTGCATACAAAGTTTTCAACTGGGATAGGCTTATTCGAAGATGGGCTGCACAAACCGTCAGACTTCCCGACAATATAAGTTACTTCGGGTACATTTTCAATTCTTTGCGGTTCCTTCTAAGCACTGTGCCCTTGGGTCTGCGCCGTGACCTCAACATTATATACCCCGATATCAAAATCCACATCCCCTGGTAATATTGTCTGTGTCTAGCACCATCGCGTTTTCATTTATTTTTATAAAATGCGTTGGTAAAACAATGCCAGCGATACAGCTGATCAGCTCTCCCTCCTACCTCGATGTGCTAACAATGGGCACACTGTTTTTAGGTTTTTTTTTTGTTTTCAATCCTCACTGGATTTCTGGATGCTCAAATAAACCAACTAGTTGAATGAAAATTAAAAATCGATTTTCGTATTTGACTTCAGACCATTACTTCAACTTTTGTGACAGAACTCCCCGCGAGTTAGGGTTGAAATCGTGCAGGTTTTCGAAGACTGCGATTAGAAACGCTGGAACAAGGGTAATAAGGGTTGGTTCCGTTGGGTCGTTAGTTCTATGAACTCAGAAATTCGAAAAAAATGTTTTTCAAAGTCCCCTAAAACAACAAAAATGAAAACAAAGTAGCTAGTTGCTTATGAAACCCAAGGAATCGCATTCTTCACCGTGCGCTGATGACCCCAGTTGCTTAATCGTCTCAAGCCAGTAATCCCACAGAAGCCAAGGATCATGGGACAACGTTTTGCCTACCGCTGTTCCCTTCAAGCCACTCTGAAGGCCCTATCAACCCCACCATTCAACCGCGTTGTGGATTCGAACAAAAACCGCCTGTTCACGGCTCATCTCAAGAGCAGATAAACCAACTGCTTGCGATAGCACTAGAATAAGTAGGATCCCTAGCCACTCCACCATCATAACAATTACTCAGCAACTGGTAATGTACTAACGATTTATTTGTTTTCATATATCGTTTCCGCTGGCATTTACCATCACATACCACATCTGACCGGGGAACGATGTATGACGGGTGGAAATGTATCACAATTAGGGAAACTTTGGGTTACACACGTAGGACGGGATATGCAAAATAACAACTACAAGACACAGTGAGTCATTTGGCTTGACGGTATACGTCATTAATTGATATCACGAGTACATTAATGGAATCATAACCAACGGGTTAGTTTCGAGAAAACAACTTCATAAGCATAACAAGTAGAAGAAATCTTAGAAAATCCTTCCATAAGCATCCTTACCGTTCTCAAAGCCTAGTCAGGCACGAAGCAGGCTAGAAAAGACCCTGCGAACAGCTAGGTTTTTCTTAGGCATTATAGGCGTTACTGGTTACTCTTCCACCATGGCCTGTCCAGTTCGTGTGCACCCAATTGCCTGGTGAATCCATCAACTCGTACGTATGCGCACCGAAGAAGTCACGCTGGGCCTGCAGTAAATTTGCCGGCAACACCTAAAAAACTACCCCGTCAACAACATCACCTGCAAATCAAGTAAGAATTCAGTGCGATAGAATGAGAGAAAACGGTAAGTAGGGACCGTACCAGGCAGGCAAGGAGGGTTACGTACAGTTCTAGCTTTCACTAATACAACTTCTCTCAGTCTCAATATAAAATCTAATCCTTTCGAAGAGCCTGGTAGGAATTCCGATATGATCACCTACTCGCCCGCTAGGTTCTAGACAGAGTCCACCTATGTATTCACAGTGAAGGTAGATATGGACGGTATAGAGCCAACACGGGAGACCCAAATAAGGTTTCTAAAGGAAGAAAGGCTAGTTAGGTATATCCAACCCAGATATTCTGCCTTGACTCCATAGCCCCCGTTACTGCAAGAAACTCAGTGAACCGAGTATCTTCGACGAAAAGCCAACGATTCTTTCAGTTCCGAACTTTTAACTGTTTACAAAGGCAAGGTGGTAATGCGCTGTCCCAGGTCTTCTAGATTTTACCATTCTTGGTATTCTGATGACCCTCATCACGAAGACATTGCAATAAAAAATTAAGCTCCACCCATCTCGGCCGGATACTTTAAGTGAAGCGAAACCGCCCGACATGACCACTGCTCTGGTTCTCAAATCTATAATACTTACTTTTATTGGGAATGGGTGAGGGGGCAGGTGAGGTAGCCCCATGTGACGTAACGGAATGGATTAATTATTGGTTGAAGTCATCGCTAACCTTTCTGGAGTACCCATCGTAGAATGACAAAGCTGCCGACATTGCCGGTACTGGAATGCCTAAACGGATGGCCGACGTCACAACGATGCGCCATGAGTTCTAAAATAAAAGCATTCTCCAAAGAAGTTCAGAGTTACAAAGTACTACTACAAACCTGCGATTCGGCCATCGCCTGAGAGAAGAAATCATCTAATAACAAGTTCTGCAAATCCTTCTTCTTATCGAAAGCTTTCTTGATATCCCCGAGGAATCTGGGATAATTGCAATTTAGCACGAATGCGGTCGAGGCATAGATTATTTATTCATCGTTAAGCTGCTTACCTCGATCTAATTATACATCCACCTCTCCACATCAATGCGATAGCTCCGAAGTTCAGCTTCCAGTCAAACTTACGGCTCGCCTCAGCCATCAGCATGAACCCTTGAGCATAGCTGACAATTTTCGATGCGTATAGGGCCTGAAATCCTTGACCATATACTGTCCAAAAGCCCTCTCTCAAGGATTCGGCGAAGGGGGAAGCTCGATAACTTCTCAGTATAGTGCTGTACCGTGATCTTATCAAAAGAGAGTGCTAGAAATTTGCCAAAACCAGATCATATACTCCAAAAGCCACCTAATAATTACTGAACAAACTTTGACCTCCCACATAAACCAAATGTTTTCCTGCCCCGAAGTTCAGTAAGTTACATTACAACCAACGTATGAGGGGTAAAGGCACCATTTGGTACTGCTTTACTTCGAATCAAAACAAAGGCAAGTGCCAGCGATGCTAGTGAAGCTTTAGAATCCAAAAATGATCAGCGCTCAGAGGCCTTGAAGAATAAACAAAAAAGAAGACAAACTGTATCTACAAACGGCGAATTCTCGTCTAAGCCTCGAACTGACCTTACTGATATGCTTGATAAACTCCCTCTTGTCAGGTATCACTTCATCATGATTCACATGAGGCTTGGCAAGAACAGAAGATGCCACCACCCGTTCTTCTTTCAGCGACGACAAACACCTTGCAAATACTGCCTCACCTGAAAATGGTACCACTTAATCCTTCTTCTCCAATGAAAAAATGTCTTGGGGCTGTCTAAGCATATTCTCAGCTGACGAAAAGTTGAACCAACATAATGTTGTTCTATGACACACTCTGATGTAGCGCTTTGAATACAAAATATCACAAAATATTTCCTTTCCACGTAATTTCAAAGATAAGCTAAAATTTTCGACAATTATTAGTATGAAAGATTTGCGGACTTCATATCACAGCATGGATTGTGACTTTGGACTGACCTATAAGCGTTACTGGTATTCCATATTCCTGCGCAGCGAAGCATGTCCATTTTCCTGTTCCTTTCTGAAAAAGAAACTCTGTGATAAAGTGAATTTACAAGAAAAAAGCGCTTGAATTGAAACTTGACTATCAAGAATTAGCGGCTGGAGGATGGGGAACAAAGGGGTAGGAGAGGGTGGGAATGAAAAGAAGCGCAGTGCATCGCTGAATAGATGGATGAATTGGTTGTCATGTATGCCTGCCCCAAAGCAAAGAAAGCAGAAAGTTTGTAAAAATTTTACGAAAGTCGGAATTTCCGCACTGAAATGCCAAACAAAAATTCCGTGCGTGAGAATGGTTCGGCAGGTATCAATCACTCTGAAATATATCTGAGGTTCCAATGACTTTCCCAAAGAATTCAAGTCGCTCAGGAATCTCAGATGGGTTTGCTCCTCGAACTCCAACCGAATAATAGCTCCCGATCAAAAACGGTAAAGAAACCTTTGTCAACTATTGCATTGCCCCATAGTCCCTTATAGAAATAATTGGTTCTTCACTTAGCAAGAGAAGGCTGCGAAAACTAATTCAGAGGCTTAAGAGGCGCCCAATATTATCAAAAAATCTGCTAGAAGTCTCTGGTAATACTATTAGCTTCATTCCCACGCTACTAGTTCTTTTACCAAAGTGCGACACGCAAATAAAAATAGCGATTTGGGCAAAACTTCGGTCTGGAAAGGGATTCGCACTCACTCGCTCTTACCGTGCTCTTTGTTCCTTGCACTATCAAAAGCCCGCTTATCCTCGCGTTCCTGATGGGCTGTCCACCACAGGCTGTCAACACTCATCACGTAAAACGACATCCAGATGACATAAGAATGAGTGAGAGCCTTGTTGGAGACCAAGCGTTCTGCCCATTACTCTCTATTCCTATAAGCCCTTCAAAAACGCGATAAGGACTAAATACTCCACGGAATTGGCGGAAGTTATGCAGTTTTTGCTGCCCAGCGGTTCCGGAGGGTTAAGTGCACTGCACAGGTAGGTTCTGGTTGGCTAGTTCCAATACCTACAATGGACTAGAACTGACCACTATCATCAGGTGAATTATGAGCTTCAGAGAGACACTAACCACCGAAATGTAGTTGCAATGGGAAAAAAAAGGACTTCTGAGTTTCTTTGCGGACTTTCTGACACACTTTGGGTGATCTTAAGAAGACCAGAGAATCACCATCAAACTAGACTACTCTTGAATGACTATAAACACGAAAAGAAGATTACGAGGCGGTGAGCCTTCTTACCTGGCCAGCGCAATCGCGAATTTTAGGCAGAATCGGTTCTCCCTTTTCATCCTTGAACTTCAGGATTTTTGCGGTGATCTCAATCAGGAATGAGTCCAGTTCTCCATGATTCCATTCTTCCATGACCTATAAATCAGAGATGTACATTTCAGGACAACATCGGACCATTAAAAATTACTCCACAGTCCTACCTCAGCCATCTGGTCATAGTTGAGTCCTACACCTTCCAGTAGCAGATCATAGGCTTCCGCAATCAGCTGCATATCACCGTATTCGATACCATTATGGACCATTTTCACGAAATGTCCAGCTCCAGCATTACCTACCTAGAAAAACGCACTAGAACCCCTTGGCCTCCGTTTTACAGTATTCCAGCATGCCCTCAGAGGAACTTAATGCTTCTCGAAAGGCTGAATTCCATGTATTCCTTCGAAACTCCGTCTATCATCATATTCTTCAATCAGCAGCATTCAGTGCAGTGCTTTTTGAGACAGAGAAAAGAGCATTCAAAAGGCTAAATCCATTACGCACCCAGTCACAACATGGCTCGCCATCGCTCTTTGCTGAAATTGACTGGAAAATATGCTTGAGGTGCGGCCATGCGTCAGGGTTTCCGCCAGGCATCAACGAAGGGCCATACCGGGCACCTGAAAAAACAATCACCTAAGACAAACCCACTAGAAGCCACAGAGCCAGCTTTAGACTCGTAAAAGCATTAATCAGTATTTTGAAAGAATGAAGAAAAGCGAATAATAGGAAACCATAAGCAGTTGTAGAGTGCGCCATGAACTCGAACTCAATGCATTCAAGTGTATATAAGAAATCGAAAGAGAAATATTATTGCCTTCAACATATCCCATTCTAAATAAGTAGCTGGAGAGCAAGAACCGCGGCTAAGCTGTATGGTGTAAGAGGAGCAGCTTTTTTCAACTTTACAAAAAGTTCAAAAGTGAGAAAGCTCTTATATCAACGTGCCACTGACCTATTGAAGTCCCGAGTCCCCATCAATGAAGGCAAATATTATCCTTCAGACTGAAAGGACTTTACTGAATAAAAATCTCTCTCCACTTGAGAAATTCTCACAGGAAATTATGGCCGATATGGGACCGGCAACTAAATTTCCCCAGAGTAGTAGCTAAAGCAAATGCTCAAACTTTATTCTCAAAGTAGACAAATAGCTATCAAATGCAAGGCCAATCATTCCAACTCCTCTTCATTAAGGATATCTATATAATCTCCTCTATAGCGTAGAATTCATGTATATCATCACCAATCAGGACGCATTCTTCTGTTATAATGTCCCTTCCATTAGCACCGCCTCTCCTCCGCTCCTCCGCAAAGCGTAACGATTGGGAATTCGGAGCCTCAATTTCCAATCGTTACGCTATACACTGGGGAGAGGTAGCTGTGACGATGTTGACATCATAACAAGAGGGCCCATATTATTGAATTGTCTCGTAGGACTACCCAAATGGCGAGCTGTTCCTTTTATCCATCATAAAACTCTAGACTTCACCATAAAACTCAGGATTTTTCAATTTTGTTTTTATTTCGCTGAAACGTTGTCAGCACTGACATTCTGATTTTGTAATAGCAACTCACAAAAACTTCACAATATTTGTCTATATTAAATTTTTTTTCAAAAGCTCGGGAGCCAACCAGCTGATTTTCTATAATGGCTAGGCACCTTTTCAATCTACTCTTTGCATTTAACAACGCTATTCACTATCAACTGTGCGGAAAATAAACGTGGCCAGATACTGAACAATTATTTAAAATTATAGCGACCGTTACATTAAGTTTGTTAAGGTAGTGAGCGGTGCAAAAACTCCTTTAATTGAAAAAAATTCATAAGATTCCTATGTTCCAAAGAAAAACTTACACCTTTTCTCTTGACCGAATCGTCTGTTTAACTGTAAGATTAACATTTACTAGGCTCAAAATTAATATTAATTTTGATTATTTCAAAATGTCTATAATGTCTATTGCCTATTTAACCACAGTGAATATTGATATTCCAAATACGCAGCGTCAACAAGGTCAAAACCAAAGAAAAACTTACACCTTTTCTCTTGACCGAATCGTCTGTTTAACTGTAAGATTAACATTTACTAGGCTCAAAATTAATATTAATTTTGATTATTTCAAAATGTCTATAATGTCTATTGCCTATTTAACCACAGTGAATATTGATATTCCAAATACGCAGCGTCAACAATGCTCAAAATTAATATTAATTTTGATTATTTCAAAATGTCTAGAATGTCTATTGCCTATTTAACCACAGTGAATATTGATATTCCAAATACGCAGCGTCAACAAGGTCAAAAGGCCAGGTTACTTTCTGGATCAAAAACTACCGAAAAAGGATCTCTACAGATATTTACCGTGGCTATCTACCTATTTTGGCTACATCCAACGTCCCTAACACTTCCATGGAACTGTCTTTTTTCCCTTTCACTTCAGTGGGTTAATCTAAATATCATGGTTAAAATTGTAAAAGATCAACCCCGTCAGGGTGGGTCATCTATCAAACAGCATACTCGTCTAGGAGAACAAAAGCGTTAGCTTGTACTTTGGCTGACTTCCGCAATTATTGTATAGGTAGAGCCAGACAGATTCGATTTGATGTTGATAGCGAATAACAATGCTAAGGACAAACACTTGGTTGAAAACGTGGCTAGACTTCATTCAAAAGTTCGACGCCCTTCCCACCTTGTCTTTACCCACGTCATTTATTACTCCCACTCCCTCTGCGCTTTTGCTTTTTATTAATATTATGATTTTCGATTTATTAACCTTACTGCAATCAAATCAATATAAAAAACTAAATATTGAACCAGACTCGACCTATGTGAGGGTGTGAATTGTGACTAATACACATGACAGAATTTCGTTTGCATAAAAGGAAATGTAAACAGACAAAGTACAATGTTATTTGTCGAACGACTCTTTCAGTAACCCTTTCATTCAGTTCCAATATTAATTATTCTCCCAGTTCGTCTTATCTACCTCCGCCGTAAACGCCCTGATAAAAATGGTACAAGCGGTCTGTTACTGCTGTTGCTCTCGAGCTAACGTTTACAGCTTTACAGGAATGTTCAATTGTGTTGAAGTTTTGAGGACAGTTATTTTAACTTAATAGAATAACTACATAGTTTTTCGTAAGTCAGCCATCCTATCTCATCCCTTCGACTTGGAATCCCGAAAAAAGAACCCACTGTTCTGAACCGTCTCGGGACCAGAATCCATGTCCTAAGCCATCTGCTTCGAACTAAAAATTTAGCTCGCTTTTTCAGCTTAAAATGACCATGAAATCCACGTATCTACTCCTTTTTTCAAGTCCAAATAGTACAAATATTAGCAAAAAAAGTGAAAACTGGCAAGAATTGAACCATTTTCATCGAAAGGGTAGATCGCTCTGCTTTTCAGTAAACTTCCAGGCAACAAAACGTAGCACAGCCACAAAAAAACTTACAGCAAATAAAAGACATAAGCCACCTGCCTCAAATTAAAAATTTAGCTCGTTCTTAGGTGAAAATACCATCAAATTTGAGAAACGAAAAGTAAAAAGAATTCTAAACATATGGGATTATGGGTAATAGCATAAGGGCTAAGTGGGTTTTGGGTTAAATCACGGAAGAGATCCCCGTGTCAATATTTAGAATCATAAAAACATCAAAAATATTGCGGAGATGCTGTAATCGGGTCTTTTTTGACATCAAAACACAGCAAATTCTAGAAGAGACGTCACAGAACCACTTAAAAGGCTTCCGTCTAACTAATTCAATCATGTCATCTCCGATTTGTGTACGAATGAAGCCATTAAAATCGGTGATGATTCAAAATGGCCACGCAAAAATAACGATCAATCGAATCAGCAATCTTCGCGATAACGTCAGCGAAAACGCTCACTCGCGTGAGTTGTCGTCTGTCGTCGTTAACCTTTTCGTCATGTTCACTTTATCATTTCTATGACAACCCAAAGGAATTACTATTCATAAAAACTATAAAGTCAGACTTACAACTGATGAGCTTTGCTGATTCAACCCATTTGATGTTAATCTTTGACCTTGGCCAATTCCTGTTCCCCCCTACTTCGGCGAAGGAACTCTCCCCAAACCGGTCATAAGTACAACCGCCATTTAGATCGATGTCGATGTAACAAACAGACACCGATCCACTTCGGTATTCTGGCGTTCATCGGTGACGATCGATTGTGTGGGAACAGTCGTGTCACAATAGCTCGTTCTCATTTGTACAGGAACCCCCCTGCTGCGCATTTATTTCACCTCCGATTTCCATTGTTTGAAGTGCTGATATTCCAGCGTTCCTCATCGTCACTGCTCGTTCGTTTGTTCGTGTCCTAGCAACACGCCCACATCGCACTGGCACCCAGCCAATACTTGCTCTACGCTGTGTGAGAATCGCCGCGCGCTGCCGCGGTCGTCGTTCTGATGTCGGCCGACACGACGGCTCAGCCAGCCGCTTATCCAGTCGATCCTCGTCCAACAAACACTACAACCATTACACGAACGCCGTCGTCAGAGACCGCGACGGCAGCGGCCCCTAATAAACGTTCTCAATCACAAGGCCGAACACCATGGCGTACAGAGCGACGATGTAAGTGAACCCCCTTTTTTCCTTTTCTTGGACACCTTTTTCATGTTCTCTCTCAAAATCCCGGCTTTTCAGACTCAGAAATCGATGACCACATATGGACATATACACTAGATCACGAGTCATGCGAGTAAGCCTTTTAAGTAATCACCAGCTTAACAATCCCTTGAACCAGATGGAACCAAATCGCTTTTCAGAGGCAATGTGGTCGGCTTCGGAAACGTAAGAATACCATCCGAAGAGAATATCGCAAAATTAGCTGATCGAAAACTTAGTATACGTTGCATAACATGGAACATTAACGAGAAGGTACATTTGAAACCTACTATTCCTCTTTTTCACAAATCCAATAATCACCCTGAAAGTCCACTCGTAAAGGGGGAATTCCCCGTACGAGCCGGTAATGAAAGGGGCTTACTCGCCTGATAATTGCGGAACTAGTCAGCTGGGGGAAAGCCGCGAGAAGCTGGGGTTTCGCCCTCAAAGCCAAAGGCTTCAATCATGGATTACTGTGTAGATGATATCACAATATACTTCATAATATTAACTGATAGCTCCTAGAAAGAAGAAATTGCCTGACAACCGGGTTTTCTTTCACTGAAGAAACAAATTCAATTGTTGCCGTAGATTAGATTTTAAAGAAGATGTAATCTCTATTCAACTCAATCAGGAACAAATTATTTCGAGAAATCAAGAGAACCCGGCTTAATCTACTTATCACTGTAATTACCAGAACTCATCCTTAAAAACGATCCAAAAAAGGTTTTTAGTATGGACATAGCAAATGTTTAGAAAAAAATTGTTCAAAATCGAATGGTTTCAACGAAGCCGTACTGGGTGTTGGGCAAATTTAAATATGATCTCAACCTCCCTTTCCCCCTCCCCCACCCCGAGCTTCCCCATCGCTATTAATCAATATCAAAGGAAGCTATCCCGGAGGAGAGACCACTGAACAACTTGCTGATTCATTTCTGATCCCGATCATCTTTACACCCACACAAAATCCCTCTAACTGATCCCAAACAGAACCAGCTGCTCACTCTCTCCTCTAATTTACTGTTTACTATTAGTAGTAAAATGATCATTATCGTTCTTGGTTGACTACACCATTAATACTTTTATTTACAACCACTTATTATTCTTTTTATCGCATACTATCTCTGAACCATCTTTCAATTATTATCTTTTACAACCTTTTGTTCCCCTGAGAATCAATTAAAATCAATTTTTCATTACTTTTATTTCCACTTCAGCCCGTCAAACTCTTGGACCTTTTGGCCGATCACTTGGAGCAAATTTCGGAGAATCTCCTCGAGGACGTAATTATCGTCGCTCTTCAGGAGCTACCACCATCAACAACGTTCGTTTTTTTTTTACAGTTTTTATTTGCAAAATTTACATATTATTTTTATAGTAATTACTTTGAGCAGCCACAATTCATCTTGACAAAAAAAATCTTCAAAGTTTTTGGCTCGTTCTTTCCTCGAAAAGGCTCAATCCATTGACAATTCGGCAAAATTGCATTCCAAAACAGTTAAAATGTCCTTTCTCAGAAAATCCGGCGATGAATTTTCGAGACAGAGGAACGTTTTAGCCACAAGTACATAACATTTCAATTTTATTCACCGCTCTGAATAGAACATTTCAATTTTTTTACTGATTGATTTATTAGATAGCATAATTTTCACGGCTTCGATCAGCGCAAACATATGCAGTAAATCATTTCCATATGGAAAATATTTCCATAAAATCGATGGTCTGCTGTAGGATAGGAGGAATGACAATACAAATGAAGTCTAGACACCGCAATCCCACTTGAAATACTCCACCCACCCAAAAAACGTAGGAAACTCCAAGCAAGAAACTTCTGCTTCCCATTAGGGAATCAAGACAAAGTCGAGAGATAGAAAACAAAAAAGTAAGGAAACGACAAAAAGAACTAAATCTGGAAAATCAGAAAAAGTCACGTGGACCAATAAAATTTTTATTTCATAGCAAGTTTTCATTTTTTTGCATAATTGAGCTTTCTGAATACGGGCTTTTTTCAGGACATTCCATGAAGATGCCTTGGCAATACTCGTAAAACCTTTACGAAATACTCACGATACCTATTTCTCCTATAGGGCTTGGAGTCAAATGATATTCGTCTTTATCCGAAAAACACATACTCGCTTCGCGACAGGTTAGAATTTCTAATTTATTCAACTGAAGCAGTTTTTCTATTGGATTTCTGAGAGGAAGTATTTCTAAGCGCTATTTGGAATACTCTAATTGTAAGTCAAGTATGAGAAGTTGACCGCCAGGCGCTTTCTTAGTCCAGGTTCACAGTTCAGTGTAGAGCCGAACAGGTCACACCTAGCAGGAAAGACACATGAGTCCCTTTTGCTTCGAACGGGCGGCCCTGATGAGAAAGAGCCAGCGTCCTAGAACTGGCTTTTTTCCAAAAATTAGCTCAATATGCATTCCTATCAAGCGCCACCCAAAAGAGTGACCTCGTATCCCATCAAGCTTCAACTGTTAAGGAAAACGCATCGAACCACGACCGACATAGTTCCCAATCCCAACACAAAATTTTTTAATTGCCAGAAGGGGATTAGGAGGCAAAGACCCCTGGGCACCTCGACCTAAAGAGTCACAGGGAAGAAAAACGGCTTTGTTTGGTTTTTTCTCTTTTCTCCATGAGATCCATTAAGAACCACGTGAGAGTTTTCTTGTGTGTATGAAGGTTGACCTCCCTAATGGATTCCGCGGATAGCCTGACGTCAAATCCATTACTTATCCTCTTAGTCAAATCTAGTACGTATTAACTAAATCCATACAAGTACACGTGTTCTATTTATGATAAGCAGATAGAGGGCCTGATGCGAGCACATGAATGATCCGATTTCAGATCCTGTCGCCAAGTTCGTACCAGCCACTGCATTGGCGAAACCCGTACGGACGAAAGGTGCTATCGGGGTATGCCTACGGCTTTATCAACGATGGGTTGTGATTATTGCTTGTCATCTTACACGTAAGCTTCAACTTTTTTAAATTTTTGCTAATACTTACTATCCATATCGATAATCCCCTAGTAAATGAAAGCAAATGTTACCGTAATTCAATTATGCCATTCAAAGCCCATTCGACTAACAATCACTGGAAAAACGTCACAATGGCGCGCCCAAGTTTTTCTGCCTTAATCCACGGGCATTTGCTTGCTGAAGGGATTTCCGCCGTTTATTTGTCTTTTTCCACAGAACAAAGCATCAGTTCAGTACAATTACACGCTAGCGCATACTTGGAAGTAAAATAATGTGGAGAGGTTCGTAGAAGGTAAAGTACATTTCATAAAAGTTGGAAAAAAACTGCTCATTTGCACTGAATAATAATTTCAAAATTTTGTACAAAGTTGATTTCCCGCTTACAATTGGACTGTTTTCCTCTACTTTGATGATTACTACTTTGTAATTTACTTCTGCTAAATCTCCTCATTCGAGTAACCAATCAACTCTCTTTGTAATCGTTTCCCAGGACTTCAGATTAGGAAAAGTTCACTTACAGTACCTAATAATTGACGAAAAGAGCACTTACTCCGCAAATTATTTCCTTTTCTAGCATATCTAAGCCTATTAAACTTATGTTACCTATTACTATTATTTCTGATAATAATTAAACCTTTCTACAGCCTAATGAGCACCTTTCTATCAAAATTTCCCAGATTTGCCTCTAACACAACCCTTTCTAACTAATCATTCACTTATTCGCCTAGGCTATGTCCCCTGATTAACTCGTCCTCCTGAAGGTCACTGGGGGGTGGGGGGTCCCTAAAGAAGCAAGAAACAAAACTTCCCCACTTATCACTGCTTTNTTTCAGATGCTACCGCTTTACAAAGGATACAGGACTATCACAAAGTGATGAAAACTCTTAAATTCCATACGCTGTGTAGTTTCAAAGGGAGTGACGACATATTCCATGCTGACGTAAGTGATTGAAGAGTTATCTTTCAGTAGAGCTCCCTTCCCACACACCGCCATAAATCACTGAAGTGACATGGGAAAACCTGTTCTGCCACCATTGGCTGCTGGCGGCTAGAGTTTAGAATCAATGCAGAACAGAAAGGCGATTCTAAAAGCCCCCACTCACTCCACGAATCTTCAGTGGTTGGGGACTTCTAGGATCGCATTCGAACTTTGAGCTGTGAGCTCTTGATAGAAAGGACGTGAGAATCAAGGACTAATGATGGAGATTGTCTCCGAACAATAATAGAAATCTTATAATTCCTCATTCAGTGTGTATTGTGGTTGGGTGATCTCAATTTTCGCATCACACAAGATTCTGGAGTTAATTGGAAGTCTCAACTGCTCGAGCCAAACACAAGAGATATCGAGAACACAATGCAAAATGATGAGCTTGCTCTAGTTCGACAAAAAGGTAAGATTGAAGTCCGGGATAGAGAGAAGCCACGATCATGGCAGCGGTTGAGAAGATAGTTTAATTCCAAGAACGGCGGAAGATTTCGCCGAATTTTCGTTGCCATGGTCGTCGCCTTTGCGTGTACGTTACTACAAACTGACAAAAAACATCAATGTTTCTATTAAGTGATTATTCTTTCAGAACTCGCCTTCTCAGAATTCACTGAGGCTCCCGTCACGTTTGCTCCAACGCACAAATTCGAAGTAGGAACAAATGACTACGTGCCCAATCGCATACCTTCTTTTACGGTAATTAATTACTTAGTAAATCATATGGGGCAAAAAGAGCATTCATATAACAAGCAATGCAATGGAAAAAGGGCCTAACTGAGAAATGTTTCGTTAGAGCTCTACATCAGGACCTGAAATAAAAACGTTGCCAAAAAGCTAGGGACCGAGGTAAAAAGAGCGCCACAAACTCAAATCGCAAAAAAATTTAGCCACACAAGCCATTTTCAAAAACCGAGGAATCGAATTTTTGAGCGCTCTCAGTCTTTGAACACAAATCGATCCTGTAGCTCTAAGATCCGTAAAGTTTAAATGATAATTCAAACCCACCCTTTTCTTTTTCAACAAAAAATTGTATTGAATATTCGGCAAATGCGTTTTCTATTAACTAGGTTGGGATTGAATCAATTGAAGAATAACGTGATTCTCCTGTCCATTTTTCTCCATGTCTATTGTCCAGGATCGCGTTTTATATTGGACCAAACAAGCTAACTGGATTGAGTGCACTGCATATAACTGCATACAGAAACCGTCCCAGTCTGATCATCGCCCAGTTTATGCAATATTTAGGTATGTGGTCAGTCTCAGCTACTTTTTCCATTCAATAAGACTAGTAATTCATTTGATTGATCGAATTTCAGGTTAGAAGTAATCAACAAAAAATCACCCAGACGATTTAATAGCGACCAAGTAAACAATGATAGCTCACGTAAGTTACACGCCACACAGATGAGGTAACAATGCGCCCATAAAGCTTTCACTTTCAGGTTCTACACCATCCGCAAGTCCCACTAGGAATGTACTGCTCAAGGAAAACTCTAGCCAAATGTGAAAATGTCAAGCGGGATATAGTACTGAAATTCCAAAAGGACCTAGTTCTATTCAATAAGGTATTGAGATGAATGTCACTTCAATTAAATAAATAATTAATAAAGATTTGGAATGTATAGCCCACCTTCTTCTCCTCCAGACACTCCGCAACCGACGTAAAGGATTCCACGTTTAGCCAACTCTGCATGACGGCGCTTAAAGATTCGTATTCTTTACGACATTCCTCTTGGAACAAATAAGGGAAGTGGGAGAACCCTCACGGTCTGACCCATAAATCGAGAAGAGTTCGAAGAATTCGGTTGACACAAGTCAAGTGTGAATCTGTTGAGTTATACTCACAGAGAAAATATCAAAGAAGAAACCATTTTTCGTTAAACAGCGATCAAGATATGTTCAGTCAAAATAAAGACACGGCCGTCTTTCAGCTTGCCTCCCTCAGCCCTCTAACTTTTGGTTATCCATGTATAAGTGTAGTCTTCAGAGAGAACGGTGGTTAGAAAAATAAGGGTCACTGATCAGAGGGTATGGAGAGTAATCCTGGCTAAACCAACACGCTCCAACTGGGCATCTTCAAACCAGTAAGCCTCATTGGTTGTTGGTTGGCTGGGGATCGGCTATTCAAACGACCTGCATGTTCAACAAGGCGTAGGTCTCTTCGACGATGTGAGTATTGCTCTCGTAACGGTTCCAAGATTCCCTGATTAGCTTTGGATACGGTTGCCCTGGTGTTTGTTCCAGATGCTAGTGCCAGTATCTTATTGAAGAGCGCATATATCGTTAAAGCACTGGAGTACTCGACGCGTGCGGCAAGCGGTATGCCGTAGAAACTTCTTCAGCTATGACTCACACAATCGCGTAAATGTGCTGCGATTATGCACAAATTCCTGCCTTAGTGAGCTAGCCCGGGTAACCGCAGATTTGCTATAGCTCCTAGCAACGAAACCCAGCAGGTTTGAGAAACACGAGGAGTGACATGAGTAAAAGTCCTTCGACGGTAGAAAAACACGTTTGACAGGATGCAAGGGAATGCTAGAATCAAGGACATGGGACAGAGCTATTAAGAGGATTTCTAGGCAAAAATCTGTGTCTATCAATTAAGCATTATGCGCACAGCGCTGTATGAAGAAAAGAGAAAAGGTAGGTCGACGGCTATCTAGCCCGCTATTTGCTCATCAACATCATTACACAGCAGAATTTACGCAGATCTTTTCTCTTCAAAACCTCCCGTAAAAAGTGAGCGAAAAGTTCAGAGAAGCGAAGAAGAAAAGATCAAAAGTGTATCTGGCCAGATAAGGAGAAGAAATCTGAAGGGAAACAACAAGAAAGACATTAACCTCGCGATTTTCATCTCAATGCTTAAAACTCCTCACCAAACGGGTTTCGATTAGGTTCGACAAACTATCACCATCAACAAAATATAAAACGAAATGTTGTGAAAAACTCACGTTGGTATCTGTGTATTCTGAGTTTCCACCGTCGATGATAATGTCGCCCGGTTCCAAATGGGGAACAATATTGGCGATCATTGAGTCAACTGGAGCACCAGCTTTTACCAACATCATAACACGACGTGGTCGTTTTAGCTTCCTAAAGTTATGAATCACTAAAGAAATTACGAAAAGGACGGTGGCATAGCATTACTATTGGAAGATGTCCTAAAGAGCTATGTGTCACCAGAAGGGGGACCACAGATTTGCTCCAGAATCATAAACACCAGAAACGTAACTAACTGGAAAACGATGTGAAATAAACACTGAGTCAAGTAACTTGCCTGCACATTTCTTCCATGGAATGGGCTCCGATGATTTTGGTACCTTTGGCTTCATTGTTCAGGAAATCATCAACTTTAGAGACAGTTCTGTTGAAAGCACAGACCTAAACGTAATTATGAATCAGAGTTACTAATATAGGAGGATGGTACTGGTGCAATGAAATGAAAACAAAGCAATGTGGGCCCCTTTGCACTCACGTATACAAGTCTAGCAGGGCATTCGAGAACAAGAGGAATTATTACGATAAGGGACGTTTTTCGTTCACTACTCCTGCAGAAATCATCCGAAGTCAAAGGAGGCGGTGATTATGGAACGATGCCATTGATTGAATCAATTTCAGGGGTTTTTAGAAGTACCCTCTTGATGTTGTGCGGGTTCAAAAAGCTGCTTACGACAATGAAGAGTACCAAAACTGACCGTATTAGCCAGACTAATACGATAGGCACAGTCTATCCCAATTTCAAGATCAAAAACATCCCGAAAACGTCGACAGATCTCGGAAAGACTCGAGCCTCATCGATTTAGTTTGTTCCCTCAAAGACTTTCTTGACAGTGATTAGCCGAAATTAATCAATAAGGTATAATTTAAAGTACACAGTTTACAACCTCAACTCAACAAACAATCAACTTATCCAACAGCTCAACTTCTAGCGCGTCTAACTTCATACCGCAGCGCTCGCAAAACAATTATTAAAGAAAAGTCTTGAGGTGGGGAACCCGTAACTACTGCACACTGATACGTGTACAAATACATTTTATAGCACATCAATATGCATTCACTGGCAAATTTAGAGATATTGGGACAGTACCCTTCAACTCCACCGTGGAATTGGAGGGTAAGGAAAAAAGTAAAATTCCCAAACTTACTGTGAATCCGTGATCATTCATGTTGAGAATCAGGTTCTGGCCCATGACAGCCAAACCAATCACGGCGATATCTGCTTCACCCATGACGTCGAGTGTGTGAGTCCTGGCAAATCACTGATTTACAATCACGCATACTAAGAAAATGCTAAGATTAACGAATACTATGAGTCCTCAGAACGTTAAAATTGACGAAAAGGAAGAAACTGTCACCTAAAACCAACCGATAGAGAAATCGGCAGTCATTTCATGAAAAGCAGATGTAAATCAACAAAAAAAAACCAAACTAATACTTTCCTACACAATCAAAACAACATGCCTTACGAAAAAAACTTTAAAATAAGCACACCCTTATCAGCCCTATCGTATTGTATAGAGCATCGGAAAAAAGTTTGTGAGGAAAAGTTTAGCTGCAGTTGCGGACAGTGCACAAAGAACCACGTCTTATCGTTCTCATTTCCTGCCCGTCTATGGAAAATAGGCAAGAAAGCCTACATAAAAAGTGACAAAGGAAATCAAATTCTTATCAGTTCCATCGCAATGTGCCGTCGTATTTAAAAAAAAATCGTGGCGAAAACTTCAGCTGCAGCTACGGCAAACACACGAAACATGACGTCATGTCGTTTGCACAGAAGGGTGTATGCCTCTTGGCCACCTGGGGAGGGAACAAGGGTTGTATGTATTAGGGGAAAGGGTGAATAGGTAGTTGTTCGAGGCGGTTCTGGCAAGAGTTAGAACTCTCTTCGTTGGAAAACTTGAGAGCGTTCTTTCGGTTCGACAGGAAATAGTTCGTTTCCTTGGAGTGCCGTAGCGAGAATACACCAAACGGTACTACTGGAACTGCTACCACTGGAAGGGAAACTGCTCCGCCACGTTATTTCTGATGCGCCATGTATTTCGATTCCTTCCTCATTTGCAGAAAAACTCAAAGGTGTTACTGATATAATTGACATTGACATTGTTGTTGGTTGCCGTTGAATCCGGAAGCCTTTCCATCCTCCCATTCCGAAATGTATCAGTTAGAAGAACTTCGAGGAATGGTATGATCATTTGGACAGGTGACTGTCGAAAAAGAAGGTGCCTGTGGCTGTGCCACCTGCGGAAGCCTGCCAGCGTGCGTGGAACTATAACTGTGCAGACTTTCAGGAAGAACAGCAACTTCTCCCATGAATCTCTTCTGTTGTGCAGTGGTCCTGCACTTTACATCCAGATATCCCCTTTCCCTTTAACGGGCTCTACTAACTACCGTCGGCACTACTTGTTTTCTGAGCGGCATAGTGCAGTGGCAAGTAGCGCACTACCGCGCACGCTTGACCAGGCGATCGAATCTTGGTTCTATACTTGCCCGGCCAACCATGGCTTCCTTCTCCCCGAGGTCGGTCATTTGGTACCAAACCCCTTTGGGAGGATAAGCACTGGTTCATGCATCGGTTGTTAACCGCAAACAATCGTGTAGACCACACATGCATTGAAACCGCCACTATGATTCTGAATGGAAGTCGTGTGCTGGGCGCACTCCAGTATGGGATCGATAAACGCCAAGAACAAAAGAGTTTTCTTTTTTGATTTCCAGTCTCTCATAGGTGCCATTACAGTAGTCGTTGGTATTGTTGTGGGTTTGTTATCAACAATAAACAAGTGAATAAATAAGCTATCCTTACATCTAATCCAGTACTGCTTGAAGGAGCAACTGCATAGAATATAGAACTGCAGGACACTAGCTTCGGCGGATGCCAAGGATTCCTAAGCCCCATCTTATGTTGACTGCGATATCTTGAGAGACTCTACTTCATTCATTTCCTCGAAAACTTTCTGCCGGCTTCGAAAACCGGTTTGTAATGAAAAACCTTTGGGTGCACAGAGTAATTAATGGGATGCAGTTGGAGGAAGTTGCTGCGTAAGAATTTTACTGCACTGATATGGAATCGCTTCAAAAACCGTCATCAAATGCTAATTTTTCATCACCTAAGGCTATCAATGGGTTTAAGAAGAAGCAGAAGGCTTAAGCCGCTTCTGATCTGCTGACCTGCTCAGCATTGCTATCAAACCAAGATAAGTTGATTGTTATGTTGCAAAAATAAGTCCTGAAAGGGCGGAGATGCTCCAAAGTGGCACAACCCAAAAGAGCGGTTTTCTCCGGAAAGGTGGTCCTTGTGATTGGCACAGATTTCCTTATTGACTTGAATTAGAACCCCTTGTAATATGCGAGATTAAAAAAATCAAAAAAAGGTAACAGAGAGGGTACGTCTTGATAGGTATTATTCTCACTGCCTGCTCAATTTTGATGCTTATAACTGAATTAGCAAGACTGAGATGACATTTGATTTATTTCATTTGAACTTTTTTTTGTACTCTGCAACTTATTTGATGTTCAGCTGCTCATTCAATATCAACTTCTGAATAACTAATAATCTAAAAAACCACTTGTCCATCACAAAACATTTTTTTCAAGCATTCAATGTGGAGGTGACAATACAGAGGTCTTGTTCGACAGGAGATTAGGCTCTATAGAGGGAGCGAGTGCGAAATGGTTCACGTATCTACTAGCTGTTCCTTTCTTTTCACAACTTTCCGATTTTGGTCGAAGTTCTGTTTAAAGGAAACGTTTTTCAGAAGTCGTCAACCGATTACCAGTGCGTGAAACACCGATGAAATCGATATAAAATGAACCCACCATGTTCTCCGCCGATCCCGTCGTAGTCGATCGAAACAGTTGCAACATGCTGGTAAAGGCATACGTAGGTATGTACTTGGAGACAGTCTAGTATGTGTACCGAACAAGAAGCAAATTCCAGAATGGATGTTGTAATAGGTTTTCAGTGAAGTGGGGCGGTCATATATTATCAATTACTGCACAGGAGAGCTGCTCTGGAACTAAGACTGGTCCGGTATGACTTTCCAGATTATTCACGGAAAATTCGCTTGAACCAGCCTAGGCTCTTGGTAGTTGTAAGGATACTACTATGGCATAGGTAGATGAATATCGATGCTTCAGTAGTAGTGTATTTTGGGATGAAGGAGAACTCTCACTGAGGCTTGCCGGATTAGGTGATTGTCTTTCTGTGAAGGGTAATCTTGTTTACAGAAAACCTCTTTGAGGGCGTATCTGGATTAGTAGATGTCTTCGTAGGTCAGAAGTAACGGCTTGAAATTGTTCAAAGTAGGTGCACGTCCTTTGCAACTGTGTAGAGATTCCAGAAAGGAGAAGTTAAGTGCCCGTAGAAGAGAACAAGGCGCATCCCATATAGTCAACTCGATATGGGCATGGTTTTCAGACGAGTAGCTGCATATGTAAATGGACAACAAGCTTTACATTGAGGGAGGCAGAATTTACTTGCCAGATGACCGATATCTTCAGAATAGGATGGACATGAAATGAGTACCGAGCCCTATTTATTATACTGTTAGAAGAAGCGATGCTGAAGAACTAATCACATTTCGTTCCCACTTCTCATAAACCCAAGTGTCTACCCCAAGTGGGAAAGGGGTATTACGCCGCTGGATAAAGAGAAACTATTATCTGTCAGATTTCATAAGCTTCCCAATGTTTCCTCCTCTTTGCCACCTACGTTCGTCACAGAGGTTTATTTCCCCATATCATTCTAGTTCAATGTCATTTCAAAGGAAATAATTGAAACAAAACGGGAAAATCTACTGAGAAAAAATAGATATTCTCAATGATTATTATTTTCCATATTTTAGAAACTACTTATTAATCAATGAACTGTTGGAAAAATCCAAGAATTGCTCGATCCAAGACTTCACT